TGGATTTTCAGCCTCAACTGTTGTGGTGCTGCAGCAGAAGCCCAGCCACCTGCCAGTGACTTCTTTCTGGGTTCTTGCTTCACAAATTCAAAGAATGAAATCAATCAATGAGGAGGAGTGAGTTTAAAAGAATAGGATTTATTCAAGTGAGAAGAAGAGACAGATTTCTTGCAGGGTGAGAGGGGATATGATAGGGGACTAGTTAGGGACTTATGTAACTATTGGTTATTTATGCTAATCAGGTATTGGAAAAGTGTTAAGGCTGTTGTTTAGCATTTGAGCCTGTGGCCTTTACTCAGATTTGTCCCACCTCCCTTTTCCTGCTGCCTGAGACAAAGGAGTTGGCTGGAATGTTTGGGATATTTCTACAGGTTAATTTCATGGAGTAGCCTGTTCATTTAGAAAAGCCTCTTTTTTTAAGGCGGGAAGGGGCATTTCCTTAACCATGTTTTACTATCTATCCTATCTAATTCAGAGTGCTGGATCGCATACAGGAATAGAAATGGAACACTAATGGAAAGTGAATTAAATTTCAAAAAAAGTCAGGAGCTTACTTCATAACAATGTACCAATGTTGGCTTCTTGTGGTTGACAAATGTACCATTGAACTATAACATAATGGAGTTAGAAGAAACTAAAATTGTATAAGAAGTATATGAGAACCCTTACTACCTTCACAACTCTGTAAGCCTAAAATTATTAAAAGATTAAAGTTTATTTGAAACTGGACTCTGACATTAAGATACTAATCAGTTAGTTAATTCATTCAACAAATAGGTACTAAAAAGCCAAGCTCTAGTCATTGTTTAGTAGTCACAAATAAGTCCTCTAGAGCTTAGAGTTTAGTGGTGGGTGCAGACACAGGGCAGGCTGTGTGTGTGTGGCTCAGTGGTAGAGCACTTGTAGTTAAAAAAAAAAATTGATAAGTACTTTCATAAGTGCCAGAGGATTAAAACATGTTTTTACCAGGGCTGGGATTGTGGCTCAGTGGTAGCACCCTTGCCTAGCGTGTATAAGGCACTGGGTTCGATCTCAGCACCACATAAAAATAAATAAAAGTATTGTGTCCATCTACAACTAAAAAAATAAAAAAAAAACCCACCGTGTTTTTACCACCTACATTGAAGTTAGTAAATATGGCATTTTAACTAGATCCTGAAGCATAGTAAACACCTTAATATAAAACAAAACAAAACAAACAAACAAAAAAAACTTCTATTGAGAATTTTTCAAATTAGATAATCCCTAAATGTTAAAACTATTTGCTGGGTATTTTTTATTTTATTTTATTTTTAGACTTTTATTAAAGAAATCTGGCACTTTTTTTTTTTTTTGGTTAGCTGATGATCCTTTGTCAACCAATGAATTATTCCCTTACAAAGTGGTTTTTCTTTTCTTCTTTTTTAATATAAAAAGTGAAGTTCAAGTATAAAATCCTTAAAATAGCTTTCAATTAGAAAAAAGTTAATTAGCTCTGTCAAATATGTGGTATTTTCTTGGCCTGTTTATTAGACCGTAAAGAAGGTTTATTTACTGACCACATAAAATTAAACATAACATTTTCCTTTTATCACCAAGTTTCCTGTTTGTTCAGTTTATTTCAAATAGAGCATATCCCAAAGAAGGAAGACATCCCCCTGGTGAAGAGGAAAGAGAACATATTCCCTAAGGCAAACAGTGCTTCTCAAAAGAATGCCTTCAAAAGAAGGCTAGGCCTGAAATGCAGCCCCCTAAATCACAAACCCTGTATTTCCCCAGGCTGGTCAGTTTACCTTAGCTCTCAAAAAATTTAGGAATGGGTGTCTTAAAAGAAAACACCTTTTGTGGATCTGTGATTTCTCACTATAGAGAAATCCATCTCTGTTTTGAAAGAACTTGTGGGGTTAAAAATTAGAACTCATTTGGGAATGCTGGGTGGTAGACATTCTCTGTCTCTTGCTGAGAAGTAATGTCATAAGGGATTTATTTCTGAGGCTGCATATGGAGATGGCTTCTTTGAAGGTACTAAATTGTATGTACTTCAAGTGGAGAGGTGAGGGTGGGGTCAATGTAGGACACCATGACTGTTCCCAAAATTTGTTCCAATGATTACAGAGAAAGTACAGAGCCACAATTGGGAATCTAAAGCAGAATGACATGTCAAGAGGAAGAAATTTCTGACAATGCTTTGGGGAAAGAGTTAAGTGAGAAAGCTCCCCTATTCCTCTGAAGGGAAAGAGAGAGTAAAAAAGGACTTATTAAGGGGGTAGATAGAACACAAAAACCAAAATGAGATGAAATCAAATCAAATCAAACCAGATTACTTTTAGTGGAAGCAAGCCTAATATCACACTTCAATAATTGTGTCTTTATTAGGATTTTTTTCTTTCACCAGCCTCCTATTTTACCTCTCTTCCACTAATTTCTACATCCTTTATTTTGCAAACCACTTTCTGAGTGGTTTTCCTAAAACATTTTAGTGACAATATGACCTTCATGATCAAAAACTTTCAATAACTCCTCACTGTCTTGAGAAGAAAATTCAAGCATTTCAATTTTGGTTTCAAGTCTGTAGATGATTAGCCAAATCTCAAGACTTTCCTGGGTATTGTTTTTCCTTATCTATAAAATGACATCAATATACAAAATTTATAGATTATCTCAGCAGCCTAAGGAAGATATATCTAAATAATTTTTAAATGGTTAAAAAATACCACTTTACTATATCAATCAATCATCTATTATTTTCTATTATCTATTCTATCTGTCCTATCATCATTATCCATTTCCCATTGGTAATAGTACTTAGGGTGGATGTGAATATAGGCTGTGAATTTTTTCAGGTTCCAATGTTGTATTGATTATCTGAATGCATGGTTTTGATTTTAGTTACCTTGATTGAAACATGCTAAAAAAGTAATATAATCTATAAAAGAAAAAAATCACACCTTTACTGCTTTCTAGGCCTTAGACTAATCCTGGTAATATTATAATAACAGAAAGGTTTTTTTTTTGGGGGGGGGGGGGGGGGGGGTTTCTATATATTTTCAGGAGATTCAGTAAATAACTGGTCTAATTTAATCTCAGTCTTAAAAAATTTCTTGAGAAAATTAGCAATAACATCCGCTTCCAGTGTGGTTAATTATAAAACATTTAATTTCTAATGAGGTTTTTACTTCCTGACTCTGTTTACCGTACAGTTTCAACATCCTTCTATTGATATGAAATGTGTGGAAACATCAATTTTTTTCCTATTCTTTTAATCTTGATTCTGGAAGCTCTGGTAGAATAGTTAAGAGATACTTAACAGTGGCTAGGGGAAGTCTTTTATTCTCTTTTAGTTTTGAGGGCACACAAATTAACTTGTTTCCTCTACTGAGCTGGGAATTCAGAAAAAAGAACCTGTTGGAAATATAAACATTCCTGTCCTTCCGGACTCTAACATTCCATTAGAAAATTTTATACCTTATATAACTTTTATTAATAGGAGAGCGGAAGTAGTGTTTACTGAGGATGTTTGTTAATGTATAACTGGAAAACAATGTATGATCACTTAACAACTCATATGATGAACTATGTAACCATCACTGTCTGAAGAAATTTAAGTTTTAGCTCAGGTTACCATCAAAAAAAGAATATCAATATTTGTTGAACATCTACAAAGTGTCAGGCATTATGTAAGGCTTTTTTTTTTGCATTTCATTTTATTTAATTTTTAGTGCAGCTCTGTTGCTGGACACTATTATTATTTTTTTAAAAAAATCTGAATTATTAGGGATAAGGAAGTGAGGCTTAAGGGATTTTTGTACTGTGTTTAAGGTCACACATCTAGTAATTATAGGCCTTAGTTTTGAAACTGTTTTGTTTGATGCAAGAATCTATACAATTTCCACTAAAGCACACTGTCTTCATAGTTTTATATCATTAAATGTCTGGTTTCCTGGTTTATTGGACTAGTTTAATAACAGCCAGCACTTCATTAGGGGGTTCTTCTTCCTGTTCAGGAGGATGTAAGCCACCTAAGAAATTAAAGTCTAGAATAATTAGTGAAGAACAAAAGACAAAGTTGGAAAATTAGTTTCAAAGGATGGAGCACCTGATAGGTCCAGTCCACACAGGAGCTGGAGCTAGACAACTAGAAAATGGCTCCCGGGGTTTATTTAAGCATACTTTTTAAAGGCAGGGATAAGGTTTCAGGGGTGGAATTTTGCTTCATGGTGTCTTGAAGTCAGCAGGGTGATTGGCATCTTGGAAGATCATACCCTTCTCTGAGAGGCTGTGTGGCTGGTTGGTTGTAGCAGGTCACCCCATCTCTGGTGCTGTGTGGGACCAGGCAGAGCTTGAATAGGGCTCACAATGTGTCTGGGCAGTCTTAGACAGAGTAAATGTCCACTGGAAGTTCACAGACACCAGATTCTCCTATTCACTAGGCTGCGAAGACCATGTAGTCCACATACAGCCCATGGATGGCTCTCGACAGTGATCTGTTTGGCAAGAATAAATGGGCAGATAGATTCCTATTGAAAAGTGTGCTTGTACTTGCAGAGAATGTGTAATTATTAAAAGAAAAGTCATAAATTTTATAGTTATATTCTCAGATTTTTTTTCTTTAAACAACCCAAGACAATATATGAAGATATCTGTGTGCTAAGAGCATAAATTGGTGGAGAGCAAATGGCTTTGTACAGTTAACCCATCGCTCTCTGCCTCTAACTTCTCTCAAACTTTTAGATTTATGAGGGCATAAAGGTCAGACTGCTGTCTTATTAAATTCTTCTTTTAATGAGAATATGTTAGATGCAAATGAGCAAAATGCTAAAGCTTCATACAGAGTATCTCTGGGTTTTATAATCCTGCTTCAGAAGGGTGGGTCTGTAGAATATAAAGTGAAGGAAAAAGAGCATGCATAATCATATCTATGTAATATGATTGTAACTTTGCAATACATAATACTATATATATATATATATATATATATATATACATCTACATATGAAAGACCTGAAATAAATATGCTAACATGCCACTTATATGGTCATCAGGTAAAAAGCTCTTAGGGCAATTTCTTCCATTTAAAAAAACAATTTCCCCTGCATTTTCAAAATAAAAATATGTTCCTCTTATAATCAGAAGAAGGCAATGCATTTCATCCATATTTTAAAAAGACACATTCTTTCTTTTGAAAGCAGTTCTGATGGGTGTGAGGGTGAGAATATTCTCAAATGGAAACAATTTTGTTTGTAAGGGAATTCAGTTTTAAAGTGGAAGAAGGCATTTGTGTCTCTGATGCCATGGCAACCAGAAGGAAAACTGCAAAGTCCAACAATAGCATGAAAATGTGCCTCAGGAGTGGGTAAGAAGGAGGCAACCTTGGACTTCTTTTTTTCCCACTTCCCCTAGAACAGAAGGTCGCATTGTGTTTTTCTTGCTGACTCCATTGCTTCCCAGCCAGGCTGCTGAGATAGGAAAGAGCAAGCAGTAATAACAACAACCTTTTCCTTAGAAGGTTTTGAGAGAAAAATCTCAGTTTCTTTGAGTTCCTCTGCTTTCCCTTCCCCTTGACATGTTCAAATTCAGTCATTTTTTATTAGGAAGCTCTTAATCTCCTATACATTTTCTTCCCAGGATCCCCAGAACTTGTTCAGCATACTTGAAGCTGTAGGGCTGCATTGATTTCAGCTCTGTGGTCTTTGTTCCCTTCACACCCAAAGAAGGACTCCTCCTATGAATGCTTTCTCTGACCTCAAACCTCAATGTTTCTTTTTGTCTTTGATAACTCAGCTATTGGGTATCCTCTTTACGTTAGAATATTTTTTTCAAACTTAATTTTATTCTTTAGGTAAACTAAATTCCCTCAATGCACTGAAGATTGGTAAGGGTCCTCACTTTGATAACAGAAATTCAAATATTGTGATGATAAAGGCTGCCAAGGGCCTTCTCAGATAAGTATTAAGGATTCAAAACTTTCTCCTGCCTTCTAGCTTGACAGCAGTGTCAAGATAGCAAAGATTGTTGACCTTGGTGCTAGTTTTATTTTATGATTCTGTATGTTTATACTTAAAAACTTTAGTCATCTTAAAAGCCACCAACAATCTGAGCAAGTGGCCTTTAGTTCTGTACTTCAAACCAATTGTGAGCCCTGCTTTTTAACTAACACGAAGAAAAGAAATTGGGACAGAGGGTCTTCAAGGTAACCAGAAAAATAGTTTTAAATAATTGCTTGTCCTCAGTTTGGAAGCTAGAGGTATAGTCTGCAGAATGGAAGGCCCTGTGTGTGATGCCAGGTCATGGCCCTGTGTGACCCTCTGCCATTGAGAATCATAAGAGAGTTGTGCAGCTGCCTAGTCTCTATCTGGCCTGGGAGGCTGATTATTTCAGGAAACTGGCAGTGATGGTGTCATTCCTAGGACTGTGATTGAACCAAAAAGAATGCAGACTTAAGAGCCATGAGAAAGTTAAGTATGGAGGATGTAGGGCTCATCACGTTTATCTTTCTTTTCTGAGAACCTGTCCATAAATGTTGCCTTAAACAGAATGTACTAAATTTCAGCTGCTGCTCAGAATTATTGGTTGTATGGCTGGTAAAAAAAAAAAAATTGACTTCACTTCTTTAATGACTTTTTGAAGCCTGCATGAAGTTTCATTTGTCTTGAACTGGCTCTTGTCAAAAACTTACTTTCCACAGATATAGGATATAATAATGAACTAGTTTCTTAACATACTACCACTTAGGGTCTAGTAGAAAAACAAAATAGTTAATAAGTCAAATTCAGCTAAAAAATGTTGGAGGCTATTTCAGTCCTGAGACAGTTACCATTCTGGTCCAGAAGAGCTTGATGTAGAAGTATCTTAATAAGGGTGCCCATTTATATGGTATTATAGGATGTATGAAAATCTTGCTCACATAACTATCTTATCTGGCCCTCAGTGGAAGTAAAGATCTAAGTATGCAGATTGGTGTCAGTTATGAACAGCTTCAGGCAGGTTCAAGAGTTTTCTTACTGTATCCCTCTAGCAAACTTGGAGGGTACTGGAGCCTTGGTGAAAGCACATTCTGCAGCTGAAGTGCAATGTTGCACATCTGTAGGGCTGAGAGTATTAAAAGTAGGTGCTTAGGTGGGAAACACCATTCCTGTGTGCCTGAACAAATTGTGATCTAGATAGAGTGTAGCCCTTTCAAGTCTGATGGCCATGTTTGTGAACTGCCCAAGTTTAAATGAATTTAGATTAACCCATGATTTAATCAGAATGGTGCCGGATTTCATATGTTGTAATGAGAACCATTTAACAAGCTATGTTCTTCTTGTTGATAAGAAACAGAAAATAGGAAGATGCTATGCAAGAGAGTATAAGAGAGTGGTGATCTGAAACTGAAATAATTTCATTTGCTAAAGTGACCTGGGCATGGACATTTTTTCATAATGCATGTATGCACTTAGTAGTGATTGGCACTTTATAGGTTCTCAGTAAATATTAAAAGGTAAAGTAACAAAAACAATAGGTTATTCATGGCCCTGTAATTATTATTTTTCTTTCACTAGCCTTGAGTACTGATTCCTATATTGCTTTTGGCTGCCATGTTATTCTGTGAACTTGGTTCTTGACATATTAGGTATGCATTAATATCTGTTGAATGGATAAATGAAAGAAAGCAAGCTAGCAGTGCTACTCTGTACTTACTTCAGAGGCAATGATAAAATTGTTTATGCCAGAGCAATTAAAAAAGATTCACATTTCTTAGCATCAAAGTTTTCATTATAATAATAACAGTGGTGTTGGTCAAACAATTTTATATTAAAATAACCAGTATGAATTTAATTTTTCTCTTGATAGATTTTACTACATAGAACTTAAAAAGTTGGAAGCTTAAAAAGACATTTTATTTGAATATTTAAGTATTGGTAGACCTCTTTGGTCCACTTTTTATAGTGAACTTGAATTTTGATCCAAAATTTCACTCACATGTGAAAAAAATTTTCACTTAATTTTTCTGAGAACAGAATTTTTATGTGGCCAGGAATTTAGGTGTCACTAGGAGTTGAAAACAAAATCTTCATCAGTTGCTATCTCTTTCCACCTAATTTCTAAATTTAAGTCTAACTGTGGGTGATATTTTGCAAGCAAGAGGTCAAGTGAGGTAGAGTTAATTCTAGTCTGGACATGTGAGCATCTTCTGGGCAACTTTGTGTCCATCTGATCCCTGGTCATGGATCCACACACACGGCGCCATCTTGCCATCCTAACTCTCGTGCCTTTTATGTCTCTATCTTTCTCCATTACTTAGATGTTCTTTTTGAATATAAAAGTAAAACTTGGCTCTTCCTATACCTCATTAGGATTCAAAAAATTCTGCCACTCACTTTTGCACACCCATACAAATATTTTTTTTTTTCACAGTAACATTACTAGGTTGGTAACAGACACTCTTCAGGTCTTTCTGCTTCTGCAGGATATTCCCTCTCCACAAAGAAAGTAATCTGCTTTTCAATTCCCCAACCAATCTGAGGTTTTGTGAATTCCCCTGTCAATGCAAAGAACTCAACTAAGGGAGGACAGAGAATAGTTTTCTTCTAAGCCACACTACATTTCCTCTGCATTCTCTTCAAATCTTCCTCCCTGACCAATTCTGGGTATGAAAATGTATCTAGTCTGTGGTTTGAGATAAAGGAAGAGAGTGGATTTCTGACTATGGAAGTTTTTTAATTATGCTGAATTTCCCAAAACTTTCTGTGGTATTCTGAGTTCCAAGAATCTTAGGGTATAACATCAAGGACAAGATTCTGATTCTCAAGATCTTTATGTGTACAATGCTGACAACTCTTCAGGCTTTACTAGATTTGACTGGGTCTGTGAACACTATTTGATAACAAATACATATTGTATGCCATGGGCCTATATTAGGTTACTACTAGGAAATAAAAAGAGAAATAGGATAGGGCTAAACTAAAGAAATAAAGTCTTTGGTGATTGTGTGGAGGTGAGTTCAATAATTACAATATTGAGCATGGTCTATGTATCAAGAACTGTACTAGTTCCTGGCAGTGTAGCAATGATCAAGAGAAGTACTTAATGATGATAGAATGTGGTTTAGAGTTTGAGTTCTGAGTTTGAGCTCTGGAAGCAGATGTCTGGAATAAAGAATGCTTTTTTGGTGATTTTATCTTCTATGAGCCTACACAGGCAACAGAAAAATAATGATAATAAATAATAATGATACTTCTCATTTCATGAGATTATTGAGGATTAATTGAGAAAATATGCATGAAATACTAAGCACAGCATGCAGTGCATAGTAAGCATTCAATAAATCTTGGTTATAGTAACAGCTCATCTTTTCCAATCTCCTAGTGTACCTCTTTGCAAAATTTAAAGAATTGGGTTACCCAAACCCCCTTGCATGTAGTGGTCCATATATAATTTAGAGCTCACTTATCAGATGGATTTGTTTGAGGTTTGACTTTGAGTGAAGCCACAAGCCATCCATTTCATGGCAGCGTATGGTGAACTTGTCCTCTGTTACTTTAGCTAAACTTGGACTATGTTTCAGAGTTCCCTTCATTGTATAATTCTGGGTTTGACTGTGGGGTCTTGCAGGAGATTCAGAGGGTGGAAGCAGTGGTCTTATTCTTTTTATGCTTTGCAGGTCTATGTAGGTCACCAGGCACTGCTGTAGCTCATGCATGTCATGTCTTCTGGTTCACCTGGTTGGTGTGGGGCATCAGCCAAGCCCACAGAGCTTCCACCCTCTACTAGATCCTTCCTTTCATCTCTCCAATTCATGGGCCAGGTTTTCACATAAGTGCATGACAGTCGGTACCACTTTCTCCTGTAGGAACTCTATTGTTGAAGTTGGAGGCTCAGAAGCAGTAAGAGAAGCTTCTGGTTTTCTTGTGGGCTCTCACTCATCCTTGCAGGCCCCAGGTTGTCCTTATTCTCTCCTGCTTGACTTCTATCTTTCCTTCCCAATGGTGTCTCCTGCTGGCCTCAGAAGCTAACATCAGGCATGGAAGAAATAGTTGTAAATAAATCATTTAACCACTCATATAATTATGTAAGTCCAAAGCCCACAATAAATTCCATATTTTTTATCTTTTCTAGTGGCTATTTCTCTGACTCAACTTGGAATGAGACAGAGGAATGTAGTCAGTGGTCAGCTACTTCCAGTGGAAGAGGCAGAGTGATCTTGAGAGTCTGGGTGCTTGCCCAAAGCTTAGAACTTATTGGCTTTTGGTAATTTGATGAGCTCCTGCTACCTGCTGATAAACCCTTTTATTCTTTACCTAGTCAAGGTGTTTTTTAATTGTCTGAACCTTCCTCACACCAAACCACATAGCCCATGCTAATCCAGATTTCTTCAGGAATGGGAATTCCAAGAGACCTAGTTCAAGTTTAGCCAAGTTAACAGAGTACAACTTTAACTGGGCTTGTGATGAAGAAATCATTATTGCTCATTTAGTCATGGTTTCTGACCTCATTAAGTGTATGGCCTCTCCAGAGAGAAGAATATCCAAGTTCGATGTGTTCTTTTCCTTCCATTGAAAAGATTTCCTTTGATACTTTTCTCAGTTCTTAGGAGGGAAATAGTAGTGTTTTCCTTTTATTACATCAAAGAAAACTGGAGCTGAGAGCATCTTGCTAAAATTCACATGTAAGGTTGGTGTGAGAGCTGCCTTTCTGTAAGATAGCTCCAGGATTTGGGGAACCACCAAGAAGATGCTGGGAAATATTTTCTTGCTAAACATCATAGGGAAATAAAATATCAAGTTTGGAATCATTAAAAAGTTAAGAAAGAAAAGATTAATAAATAGAAAAAAAAATCCTATTTAAAAAAGTCCTGGCACCCCATCTATCTAAATAGATATAGTTTTTGTATCATAAGAAGTCACAAACACTGTGTGCCTCATATCTGTGGTCTATTTTTGCTTTTCCAAATATAGCTCAATGTTATTAATACACGAGTATTATGATGAAACTTACAAATTGAATTACTCAGACTAAATTATAAACACTATATTGAGTTTATGTTATTGTCATTTAAAAATTCTAAAAGTTTTATTAACATTTTACATTTAATATTTTTCATCTAGCAGATTTCAGGATTTAAGTCCATTCTGTAAATAATAGTATAATCAGGCTTCCCTTAAATCTTTGTTCGGTGATGCAAGTTGTTCCTTCCTCTGTTTTACATTACCCAGTGATATTAAAACACTGATGAGAATGGAGCCTACAGAAAACATGTGTAGGCTTGTTCTCCTGAATCCTAGAGCTGTGGGACTCTGGGTTTAGTCCTTATTTCTTTCTCATGCTCCTATGAAATTCCCTAAATATCTAAGCCTGGTTAGCACTGATGCCTAGTACATACTCTTTATTTCAGAATCTGAGCTGCTATTTGCCAGCATAGAAATAGTGAAATAGTGAAGAAGTTGACATCATAATGAACTGGTGGGGCTGGCTTGCAGGATGAGGTGCTCCTCTGAGAAGAACTAGTCCTAGGGTGCTTTGAAGTCTCTTTGCATACTGTTTCAAGATGAAATATTCAGATCCAACAGAGATTTGAGTACTTATTATATATTAATCCTGTGCTACATATTTGAATGCTATGCCATTTAATCTTTACAACAATCCTGGGAGATTAGGGTTATGATGCATTATCATCTCTGCTTCATAGAGGAGGAAATTCATGCTCAGAGATGTTAAGAACTTGTTAGAGGTTGCATGTTAAAAAACAATGGAATTTGGATGTCCAAACTGGTCCTTTATATGCTGATGCTTTTGAGAGAAAATGGAAGCATCTTAAGCCCTCTTATCTACCTTTCAGCCACATAGATTTTTTTTTTTTTATCAGATGCATGATTTTGTGGATTTTGAGGTGGGAAAAAAACACTGGTTACTGGGATAGACATAACAAATCAAATGACCTTTTAACGAGGACCTTTTAAAGACTTCTCAGGTTAAAATAATAATAGCCACAACACACAATAAAGAATTACATATCAGTTATCAGGACCAAATACTTCAAATCTGGTTTCTGTTTCTTGTTTAGGAAAGTCAGGAAGGTATCTGGGAGAATACATAGTAAATGTGGGGGGATATTTTCTTATTAAAAAAAAAAAAAGCTGGGAGTAAGGAACATATTAGATGCCCCAGAGGTATCTGTTGACTAAATGAACTAGAACTAAAACTACTGTATTTCTTTCACTGATGTCTTCTCTCAACCACCTTATCTCAAGAACTCTCTAAATAATGTTTCAGCATATAAAAGTTTTAGCATATACTTCTTTAGATGCATAAAATGTTTTGTAGAATTTGTTCTGCAAGTGCTTCAGATATGCACAAAAATGCTCTTTATTTGTAGGTGAGGTGCAGGATTCTATTTGTATATTTTAGATTAAGCTTGTCAGTTATGTTTTCTGAATTTTCTGTGATGATTAATTTTAGGTGTCAATTTAACTCTACTGGATTAGGGAATACTTAGACAGCTGGTAAAGCATGACGTTTGGGTGTGTCCATGAATGTGCTTCTGGAAAAGATTGAAGTGAGTCAGTGAACCAAGTGGGGAAGATCTGCTTTCGGTGTGGGTGGGTCCTATCTGCTCAAGGCCCAGATTGAAAGAAAAGGCAGAGGAAGAAAAAAATTCTCTTTTTCTTTCTCCTGCAACTGGGACACCCTTCTCCTGCCACTGGAGATGGGAAATCCAGGCTCCTAGTCTTTGGACTCCAGGACTTATGCACTCCACCCAGGAGTTCTTAGGCCTTTGGTTTTGGACTGTTAGTTACACAATTTGGCTTTCCTTGTTCTAAGTTTTCTGGGCTTGAATTGAGCCATTCTATGGACATCCAGGGTCTCCACCTTACAGATGGCCTTTTATAAGACTTGCCTGCTTCAGTAATCATGTGAGCCAAGTCCCCAAACAAATCCCCACTCATATACTTATCCATATATCTCTATGTATCTTACTGGTTCTGTCTTTCTGGAGAACCTTCACTAATACATTTTCTAAATTTTTTTTTTCTGCTTGTTGTATTTTTGATAGACACATTTTAAAATTTCCCTCTATCATTGTTCTGTCTACTTATTATTCTGTTAGTTTAGATTTGAAGCCAGATTATTAGATGTATACATGTTTATTATTATAACTTTTTAGGGGATGTTACTGCTTATTATTTATTTCCCACAATTTCTTTGTCAATTTTTTTCTTCTAAAACATTTTCTTGTTTGAAACATGAGCTTTATTTTGATTAATATTACTATGTACATCTTTTGTAGACCGTTCCCCTAACTTTCTGTATACTTTAATTTTAATATGTTCCCTTTAAACTGTTTTATTTTTCTTGATAATAACTATTATTTAATGTTTGATTTAATCTGCTTATGTTTATTATGATTATTGATACATTTGAACTTGTTTCTACTATTTTGTTTGTTTTCTGGTTATTGTCTTTTTCTCTGCTTCTTTTTTCTTCCTTTTTACTCATTTTTTTCTCTCCTTTCTTTCCTTTTTATTTTCTTTTTCTTTCTTAAAAGTGATTTTTTTACTACCTTCCTCTTTTTTTGTTCCTCTCTTAGGTGTTAAAATTTCACACACACTGTATATACACATTTACGTATAGTTATACATGTACATATATGTTTTATACATATGTATTTTTTATATTGTGATATTTTTGTGATTCACTTTGATAGTCTAGATACAGATTTATTTGAGTCAATTCTGCTTCTGTTTAGTGCATTCTCTTAATAAGCACTCATAACCTTCTTCCTATTTTAAACATATGTAGCCATGATGATCTCTTTGAAACTGCAGCAACAGCATTCCCTCTAGACCCTTACATTGGAAATACTCTTTCATCTGCTCTTTTATATTGGTTTTGGATCATTTTGTCATTTTTTTCTGAATCTTGGTTAAGTTTTCAGTACTATACACTAGTTTACTAATTTTTTGTGCTGTTTGGACTTTGGGGTAATCTCCTGTGCTGTTTAGACTTTATGGTATTTGAATTTTTAAACAGTATTTTACATTTGTAACATTTTAATGCATTAATTTTACATTCTCTTGTTTTATTTCTCTGACCTTATTTCACATTTTCTCATTTTTAAAACATGGATATGAGCTCCTCAAGGACATCTATGTGGATTTTAGACATTCATATTATGTTTGTTTCATTGACAGCAGAGCTGCTTAACTCCTGCACTATGGACATTTTGGTTCAGATCCTTACTGTTGTGGGTGGCTGTCCTGTGCACTGTGAGATGTTTAGCAACATCCATGGTTACTAGATAACAGCAGCATCTCTAACCTCACCAGTTGAGACAACCAAAAATATTTCCAGCCTTTGCAAATTGTCCCCTAGCTGACAAAACCACCACTACTTGAGATCCACTGATCTAGAGTGAATATATTCCCTGCTAAGTTTTTTTTAAATTAACTTTCATAGTGCTACTTTTTTTCATGAGTTTTAGAATTTGATATGCAGATTTATTCTCTCATACTTTCTGCTGTTACTGTCACTGGTTCCTTGGCTAAGTGCCCAGAACCACATCTTACGCTGGTGGCTGAGGTTCCCACCCCAGGGCTGTTCACTTCTCCTGAAGGCTCCAAAAACCATGATGATGCTAGGGATATCACAGAACACGGTTCCTAGTGGCTGGGCTCAGGTCCTGGTTGAGAGTCTGTGTGTGTTTCCTTTACTGTCTGAGATCCCAGCTTCCTGCAAGTCATTGCCCCAGAGAACTGCAAATGCCAGCTTTTCTCAACTTACTTTTACAACTTTCTTTTATATAGTGAAAATTATTCTAATCCATACCCTCTCCATTGTACAAGACTCGAACTGTACAACAATCAAGACTGTGATGGTTCCCAGATTCAGGAAGGCTTCTGTTCCACACTGCTCTCTGATTCTGTTTCATAGAGATGCTTATTTTGTTCGCAAGCATAGCTTTGGGGCTTTTGGTGCTTTCTTTCCAAATTTTACTATCAAGACTATAATAGG